AATGCTTTATAGTCAGCACTTCTGTATCTGTGGTAAGGGAGGAGTTTTTATTTTGTTAAATTTCTAATTTGTTACAGGCTGACATTTTAATAAAACATACTAAAGATGAATTACTAGAAAAATAAAATTAAAAGACATACAAAATACAAGCCTTGTTTTTAAAATTATTAGATTCACAAACATAAAGTTACTCTACTACACTGCTAAAAAGAAAAGTTTTACTTTCCATCTCTGTAGCTGTCTTGTCATAGACAGGTAACAGGCCACAAACCACACTTTCAGTGGCACTACTTAAAATGACAAGGAAGCCTTTTTTTTTTTTTTTATCCTCACCCGAGGACATTTTTCCACTTTTTGTTCAGATAGAGCGGGAGGGAGGGAGGGAGGGAGGGAGAAACAGCGACGTGAAAGGGACACACTGAGTGGCTGCCACCCACAGGACCAGCCAGGGCCGGGGGAAAAACTGCAACCGAGGTACGCGCCCTTAGCAGGAACCGAATGTGGGTCTCTCAGGACCGCAGGCTGACACTCTAACCGCTGAGCCCAACTGGCCAGGGCTAGGAAGCCTTTTTGCAGTGAACTCACAATCACTGTATCGAATGGACCAGATTCTGATCTAACATCTGGAGGCTCTTCCACAATAGAAGACAATTTTCTCCAACAAATCGTAATATTTGGGTTCTTCCCCTATCATATTTACTAGACTTACTAGTTTATAATGTTTTTCTAATGCTTATGGACATTTTCAATAAAGTCATACGTAATTTTAAACCATCAGCCATTTTCTCAAAAGAATCAAACACAATCTCATATAGGAGAAACCTGACTTCAGAGAATCAGTATTTTCCAAATCACGGGGAAACAGTAGTCATTAAGCATTCCAAGGGGGATGTGCCAGAAATAGATTCATCTGGTTGAAATGGGAGCAATGGAAAATGTACACATTGGTAGTGTTTAAGGTGCCTGTTTGTTCCCAGGATTAAGCAGAAGACAATGAGACACTTTGCCAGTTCCTGACAGCACGAATCTAGTCCCTGGGGCAAAGGCTGAGTGAGCCTGTCACTCTGCCTGAGGAATGAACCAATGATGGATTTCTCTGGACTCAGGCCAACATAATGAAGATAAAACATCTTACTTTATATTAAGATTAAAAAGAATTTAAGCCCCAAGTGATTCACTGAAAAAACTGCCATGTATGAACATATGAGCATTCTATGCAAGTCTTGGAGTGAACATAAACACTCATTTCTAGTGGGTATCTGCCTAGAACAGGCTGCTAAGTCACAAGGTAGACATGGGTTTTGACTGTATCATTTGAGAGTTCTCATATAAAGTTTTTAAATTTAAAAAAGTTCTTCAGCTGAAACAAGAGTTTTGAGACTTTCTTTTTTCATCTTTTAAAGCAGAGGTAACATAAGCAGATATAGTTTTGGGGTTGTTAGAATAAAATAGTACAGTTTCTATTATAGTTTCTTATTCTTTTACCTGAAAAGTAAATTTTACTAATATTTAATACATAAACTGACACTAGTGTCCTTATTTAGATGATTATATGTATTCACTTTGGCATACGGTGATCAACTGCCCTTTGTGTGTGGCTGGTTGAGCAGAGTTATGAAATATCTACTACTGAACTCTCACAAATGAACAAGTATCTAAAAGAAGTCCTACAAATATAATACTAATAGTGTAATAAGCACAAGCAAACTAAGAAAGGCCAAGATGACAGTTCTATTGTAGAAAATCTCTTTAGAAAAGAAAAATTGTGACCATGTAGTCAGATTGCCCAAGAAGCAGGCAAAAAATATTCCAGAAATTAATACTTTAAAAAATGTGGACTTGATATATTATATTAATGACATTTTGCTAATAAAAATTTTAAAAGATAAAATATTGTTTGTATCATGTCATCCCTTTTAGTTTTTTTTTTTATAACGTATATAATAGTACCACATACAAGTACACATAATTTTAAAGTAAATTTACACATATTTGGGATGTAAAAAATTTTTTTTTTACCAACACGGTACACAATCAAGAGGGTTCAGACTCTTGTTTTAAGGAAAGTATTTAGCTAGGTAGTTCTTATGCATAAATAAACTTCTAATTTTAAAGTCATAAGACATACTCTATTCAAAACAGCTAGCTGCTACTTAATGTTAAAATGAGAATATGTGAATGGAGAGGAGTACAGAACCAACTGGGAAGAGGCATGAGGGAACTTCCATGGGTATTGGTACTGTTCTGTACCTTGGTAGGGATTTGTTATTATACCAGTGTACACATTTGCCAAGTTCACTGAATGGTACATTAAAGTGTGTTTCAGTCTATGTAAATCTTACCTCAAAAGGTAAAAAAGGGGGGTCTATAAAAAATATTGACCTCCAGTTAACGATATGCATCCTGACGTGTCTAGGAGTAAATTATAGTGATGTCTGCAACTTCCTTTGAAATGCATTAAAATAAGATGGACTACTGTATGTACAGAGGAACAAATATGTGATAGACAAGTACAGTAAAATGTTAATTATAGAATCTAGGTGGTAGATAGATGGGTGTTCACTGTACATTTCTTTTAACTTTTCTATGTCTGAAATTTTTCATGATAAAATGTTAGAAAAAATAAATCTATTCAAGAGTTGAAAAATTTAAAACGTGTAGTGATACAGGAGAGAAGTTAGAAACTCAAAAGGAGTAAAGGTAGGAGCATTCAAGTACCACTGCTTGGTGCTTTCATAGTCACGAATAAGTCTGCGAGGAAGGATGATCTCTACCTTAGATTTAGTAAACTGAAACTCAGGAAGATTACAGACCATGCCTGAGGTCACAGAGCCCGAAGCCCAGCTACAAGCTGAACTCAACCTCAGTTTATTAAGACATCTGAATCCTCTTGGCACACATTCCTCACAAGGCGCTGCCTGGGACCAAACGTCTACCCTACAGCAGGTCGCTCCTCCATTCCAGCTGTTAGGAAGCGGAAATCTGTCTCCTCCATGGTTTTCCTCCTCGGTTTGATTTCTTGGGGCCACACAGAATCCCCAGTACAAATGACATTCATAACAAGTGACAGTATTTGAAAGCTGAATGGACAGGAATGTTTTCCCAGTTAGTATTTTATATCATCTACAAAGCTATAGCTAGGTATAAAATAGGGAAATGTCTCATAGGATTGGGATGAAAAGAAAATGAAAACATGTTTGAAGCACAAAGCGTAGGGACTGCCATATCCTTTTCTTTTCCTAACCTTTACCTTTCCTTGGAAATGGCAACATGCCACTCACTATAAAATAATACATTAAACACACACACACACACACACACACACACAGATAAACACACAAAAACTTGGGTCCTTTCCTGGAGGAGCTCATGTTCAATGTGAACAGACACAGATTTTTCTTTCTTGTATTCACTGTATCTTACCGAACAACCTAATTGATTTTATTTCCTCATTTTCTTTTCCAGTTTGCCTTGGTTTGTAATGATCACTTCCAGGAATTTTATGTACAATTAGGAATACAACCAGGGCCACTTCTGTGGCACTTTCGTGTTTTAAAACTACTACAGGTGGCCAAGCTCCGCAAGCAATCAGTTAATGAAATTTTAAAACTGTTTTCTTTATGACTCTGAGAATATTCCTCTAAGATTCAAGAGAGCCACTGTGTTACAAGGAAATGACCAGCTGCTGCTGGTAACCTTTAGTTCACTGTGGATGCTACATAAAAACACGCTCCCCATAGCTGTTCATTTCCTACTTGGCAAATCCATCCAGGGACTCCCTACAGAACTCCCGAAGTCACAAATCTTGCCCCTTTCAGCAGTAGGGCCCTACGGTATGAACATCGCCAGTGTTCCACCATGAAGATGGCTTTATTCAAGGACGACCTGCAGTTCAGATGTGGAGAAAGAACAGTGATTTGCACGGCCTGAACAAGCCTGTTTTTCCCACTTGCAATGGGGGGCTGTCCGTGGTGGAAGGACTCCTGGGGATGCTCCTTTTCCACCTGCAGAAATGGATGTGCAGACCGCTGAAAAGCTGAGCCCAGGTCGGGGCCCGGGGCCCCGATTCCTGGCCTTGCCATTTCGCGATCGCGCCTCACTAAGTCCAAGCGTAAAAGACGAACCACGACGCGATCATGTCCACCCTGGGCTCCAACTTCACTCAGCTGCAGTCTGGTCACCCATGATGTCACTTCCTTTTCTGAAGGGGTGTATTTTGGGGGGGGTGGGGGGGTTGTTTTGCCTGCATCATTCGACCCCAGGACAACACTTCACACTCACGTTCATGCCAACACTGCCCATGTCTGGTTCGCTAACCCAAGGACACCCACGCCGCCTCCGAGGTGCCCTGACCCCTCCTTTCCATTGTTTCTCCTTCTAAGCCATGAACGGGCAACTGCGAGCAAAGGGAACGAAAGGGAGGTGGTGTCGAGCACAAAGCGCGCAGGGGCGTGTGGCATCTCCCCCTCGCTCGAGGGGCCTCCCGCAAAAAGAAACGTCCCCGCCGCGGTAGGCGCGACAGGCAGCGGCGGTCCCGAGAGGCGGCGGCGACAGCCCGGCTCCCAGGCCCGGCGCGCGGCGGGGGCGGCGGCGCGAGGCCAAGGATCAGGTCCGCCAGCGACCTGAACCAACATGGAGGTGAAGCGGCGCGAGGGGCGTCCGGGTCCCGCCAGCCCGCTCCCGGGCGTCGGGTCGCGGGGGCGAGGCGAACGGGGAGGCACGCACCCGGGGCACGGATGGGCAGGCGGGGGCGCCGCCATCGCGCTCCGGGGACGCTCAACAAGTCCGGATGGCGGAGGATGCTCCGAGCGATGGCCGAGCGAGCGAGCGAGCGCCCGCGGACGGCCATTTGCCGCGCGCGCCCCGACGCCCGGCCCGGCCGCCGCCGCCGCCCCAGGCCGCGGGTTCCGCCGGCGCCGGGTTCCGCCAGCGCCGGCTCCGGGGGCGGGCGCGCCCTCGCGAAGGGAAGATGGGGGCGGGCGGGCCCGCGCCGTACTCACCCGGGCCGGCCAGTGCGGGTAGCCCTTCATCTTGGCGAACACCAGGTCGCCCGCCTTGTACTCGCGGGGCCGCGGACGCGCCATCCCGGCCGCTCCCCTTCCCGGTCGCCCTTGGTCGCCGCGAAGACGCCGCAGGCCGCCCCCCCGCGGGCCGACGGACTGCGCCGCGCTCCCCGCGGCCGCTCCGACGAGGGGAAGCGGCGAACGGCAGCGGGGGCGCCGGGTGGGCGGGGGGCGCCGCGGGCCCGCAAATCACGGCCCGGAGGCGGGGAGGGGCGCCCGGCCTCGGCTCGGCCCGCCGCGCGCTCACGGACGCCGCGCCGCCTGCCTCATGCCGCCGCGGGCCTCCCTCCCGGCTCCGGGCGCGGCGGGCCGGGCCTCGCGCCTCCTGCGAACCCTCCGCGGGCGGCAACCGCAGCCGCGACCCGCGCTTGTGCCCGCGCGCTCAGCCCGCCCCTCCCACGCCGGCCGCTGGTGCCGAGGTCCTCGGCCGGCTTCCGCCCAGAGCCGGAGCGCGCCGGCCGCTGCGCGGGGAGCGGCGGGCGGTGGGCGCGTCCTCCCAGCACCGAGCCCGCGCCGGGCGGGCGGGAGCGCCGACTCCGGGGCCGCCCGCCGCCGCGCTCTTTTGTTCTCGGCCCCGAGCTGCCCGCGCGGCCCAGCCAATCACCACCCGGCCGCCCCTCCCCGCGTCCGCGCCACGCGGGGCGCCCCCGGCCCCACGCCCCCCGCCCGGCTCCCCGCGGACGGGCCCGGGCGCCATCGGGACGCGGCCCGGCCCCGCTCTGCGCGCGGCGACCTTGGTGCTGGGCTCTGGCCCCAGGTCTGCCCCTGGCGAGGCAGCGCCACCCGCCCAGGGGGGCGCCGGCGGGATTCGAACTCGGGGCTCCAGACTCCAGAGCCCAGCGGTCGTGCTGTGTCCTCACACCCAGGCCTCAGGGGCCCGTGGTTGTGCGAACGGGACTCGCGCTGGCAGGCCCCTCGTTTCTGATCCCGGCCACCTTTCGGACGAGGCGTTTTCGAACCTGCCCCATGGGTGAACGGGGCCTCGCATCACCCTGAAACCCGCTCCAAGAGGCGGCGCGGCTCCTCAGGGCAGCTGAGTTTGTGGCCTTCCTCTGGTCACGAGGACAGGGCTCCCTGTTTGTCTGTACCCCTTGGTCTAGGCTTGCCTGCCCTCTCTCCCTTGCATAGAAGTTTCTCCTGGCATCTGCCTTCCCGACTTGCCCTGGAGGATTGCGTGTGTGTGTGCATGTGTGTGCATGTGCGTGTGTGCGTGTGCGTGTGTGTGTGCATGCATGTGTGCGTGTGTGTGTGCGTGCGTGCGTGCATGTGCGTGTGTGCATGTGTGTGTGCATGCGCGTGTGCATGCGTGCATGTGTGTGTGTGCATGCGCGTGTGCATGCGTGCATGTGTGTGTGTGCATGCGTGCGAGCCCTTGCTCATGTGCCTTGATGCTGGACTCCCCATAATGGGGCTTTCAAGTTCCCAGACTTCCTATGGGTTGTTGGCCTTGTTCATAGTACTTGACACCACCTACTAATGCATTTCCTTACTAGTTGATCTGGGGAGTGTCCTTGTAGCTGTTTACCCTTGCTCACCAGTCCTACAGGTTCACCTTTTCCTCTTCTCTCACCGTAGAAGGCTAGTCTAGGTCCTCTGGCCTCCGTTGTAATAGCCCTTAGTCCGGTTAGAACACAGAATTCAACTGAGTACGTTTTAAAGATCTTATGGGCTCTTCTTCATCGATTGGTGAATGGGCAGCATCTCACCTAGCAGAAAGAAGCTCTTGAGAGCTGTCCTCAATGGAAGACTTATAGGTGGAAGGGGGTGGGGCAAGGAGGTTATTAGTGAAGAGTAGATTGTTTCAGACAAGGTCATGTTTCTTTGGGGAGCTTCAGGGGTCTGTCAGGTCAGGTAGTGCTGACCAGGTAATTCCTGATTGAATGGTCTCAGATTTCACTCCTGGGAGAGGTTGAAACTATAATTGTTAGGTATTAAGTCTCAGTTTGGTGATGTGGCTTAGCACAAGGGACTACATTTGGGGCCTGTTGTCTCTTTTTTTTTTTTAACAGTCCCTTTGGGTTCCTATAATGAAATAGCACAGAATGGGTGACGTATAAACAATGAAAATTTATTTCTCACAGTTCTGGAGGCTTGGAGGTCCAAGAAAATGGCATGGGCAATTCTGTTATCTGGTGTGGTCTGGCTTCATAATGGTCTTGTCAGCAGTCTTTTCCCACAGGGGACTGGAGAGGGAGGAGGGCAAGGAAACTCTGGGGTCTGTTTTATAAGGGCATCAATCCCATTCGTGAGGGCCCCATCCTCATGACCTAATCACCTCCCATAGGCCCCATTTCCAAATACATTGGGCTTAGGATTTAACATATTACTTTTGGGAGGACACAGACATTCAGTATACAGCCGTCTGCTGGAGTGTTTGTCTCCCAGTTGTAGGACCTGTCCTCTGTACCTGTCATCATGCCATCATGCCCACCCTGCTCCTGAACCTGTGAATGGTTCCCATATTCTCTTATGTCAAACCCAAATGCGTCTGACTAGCTGCCAGACTCTTAGCTGTTGGCTGCTTGCCCGCTGTGGTCTGGACTCCCAGTTGGAAGTCATGGGAAGACTTTTAGCAGGGGAGGGACATAATCATGATTTGTTTTAGACAGATTATTCTGGTGGCCAGTGTGGAGGTGGATTTGAGGGTGAGAGGCCGGAGCAATTGGGGGGGCTCTCACCAGAAGAAAGAAGAAAAAGGCTTAGATGGGGCTTGCTGACTCATTCAGTGGTACCTGGATAGGAACAAGGAAGAGTCAAAAACCATTCCCTGGTTTCTGGCTTACGCAAAGGATGATTACGTTTGATCCTCACCAAGTTGAACAGATCCATAAAGAATGGGCGAGTTGGGAATGAGATCATGAATGATTTTGTGTGGTGACATTTCCTTGGGGTACCCAGAGAGAAATGTTTAGCGAACAGTTGAATATGCAACTTAGAGAAAGTGGTCAAGGGAGCACGGAGAGAGATCTGGATGATGTCAATACACAGGCAGTGGCTGAAACCAGCAGGGAGGTTCGCTAGCAGGAGAAAAGGAGTGGCCGAGGATGGAGCCAGGTAACGGCAACATTTAAGGGTCAGGCAGGAAAAGAAAGGAGTGTAGCCCTCTTTCTGTGGGAACCAAAGAATTAAAGACTTTCCAGAAGGAGGGATATGTCCAGATAGGTGCCACAGAGAGGTCAAGTAAGATAAGGAAGAAGATGGGTCCACTGAAGCTGGTGATTGAGAAGTCGTCGGTGACTTTGTTGGGAACCGGTTTACTGAAATGGTGTCGGGAAGAACCCGAGGTGTGATGAGAGGTGAAAATATGCAGGCAAGAAGGATAGACAGTCCCTTCCCAACAGCGGAGAAGGAGCAGCATGAAAGCAGGAAGGAAGAGTCGGTCTGATTGGTCAGCCGGTTTTTAGAGATTGGAGAAACAAGAGCTTGTAATGAGGAGAAGGAGCCAGTAGAGTGGTTGAAGACAGCGGCCAAAAGGGGATAATTGATGGGGTGTGGTTATTTTGAGAACATGGGGATTTCTTGCAGTCTAGGCTTTGCTGTCAGGTTTTTGGTGTTCAGCACACGTCATTTATCCGCCTCTCATGCCCTACCAAGTCAGACTTAAGAACACACGCACATAGGATCCCCTTGTTAGGCTTCCTCTGGTCATCAGGAATCCCCTGATGTGCCTAAGATCTAAGAGCCGGTCTGTCCCTGCAGCGAGGTTGGATGCAGACCACCTTGTCAACACAATTTTGCCAGCGATGAAGCATTGCCCTGTGGCCTTCAGTGCAGACAGAGGTTCAGACTGGTTCCTCCGCTTTTTTGCAAAGGACCATTCCTGTGGCTATTCCAGAACAATGCTCTATTCCAACATTTAACAAATAATAAGTAACCCTTCCACTGAGACCATTAAAAGAGTCTGATGTATTTCATTAATAGGCGATGTGGCCCCAAGAGCTGGTCTACTTGCTTTGTCAAAATAGAACATGTTAATGTTACTTCTGAAACTTGGAAAGAACTCCATTCACAAATGGCGATAATTTCAACTTCCTTTGATCACTTTTGCTTACCACATCCTCAAATCCCTCCAGGCTATAACTTCTCTTTCCCTCAATCTATTTTTTGCCGGTCTTCTCATTCACAGACACCCACACATTTTGTGGGCCCCATCCTGTTTTCACCTTCCCCTTTCATATCTTGATTCAGCTTTTTTTTTTTTTATCCTCACCCGAGGACATCCCTCCACTTTTTGTTCAGATAGAGTGGGAGGGAGAGAGAGGAAGAGGGAGAGAGAGAGAAACATTGATGTGAAAAGGACACATCGAGTGGCTGCTTCTCGCACAACCCAACCAGGGCCGGCGACAAACTGCAACTGAGGTACGTGCCCTTAGCGGGAACCAAACCCGCGTCTCTCTGGACCGCAGGCCGACACTCTAACCGCTGAGCCAAACCGGCCAGGGCTTGATTCAGCTTCTTAATAAAACTCTAACAAGTCCTTCAAATATTTTCCCCAAAATTCACCCATTCCATGATGTTTCAAGTACCCCAAATCTGTTCCTCCACCCCAAATTATACATGACACATATAAAGCACTTAGAAAAGGGCTTGGCACATAGTAAGTACTATTAAATGTCAGTTAATGTTATTATCTTTGTTGGTATTGTTTACATGGTGTAATGAAAAGAATTATGGAAAGGGAGTGAGGAAATTCTGGTGTTAATCACACACACACTCAGCATGTCAGAAAGGATGGGTTGTTCAGATAACTGAAGCAGGGTTTAACAGCAGATTAGATACAGCTAAACAGAGCTGCTGATCTGGAAGATAGGTCAAAAGGAAAAATGTTCAGACTGAGACAGAAAAGGAAGGCAAAGACGGAAAGGAATCTAGTATAACCACACCATCTTTCTAATGGTTAATATTTGTAAGGTATGCCCTGGCCAGTTTGGCTCAGCGGTTGAGCGTTGACCTGCGGACCAGAGAGTCCCAGGTTCAGTTCCCGCTAGGGGCACGTACCACAAAAAGGAAAAAAAAAATGTGTAAGGTATTTTCTGTCCATGAGCTACAGTGAAAAGTCTACTATGCCATCTCAAATGATGATGATGATGATGAGAGAATGGGATAGAGGCAATATTTGAACCAGTGGTGGCCAAGAGTTTTACA